AAGATGGTTTAATTATTTTGGACAGTAGTTAAGATAATTTATTTATTTTAGACAGTAGATAAGGTAATTATTTTGGACAGTAGTCAAGATGATTTAAATATTTTGGACAGTAGTTAAGGTAATTTATTTATTTTGGACAGTAGTTAAGATAATTTATTTATTTAAGATAGTAGTTAAGATAATTTATTTATTTTCGACAGTAGTTAAGATTATTTAATTATTTTGGACAGTAGTTTAGATGATTTATTTATTTTAGACAGTAGATAAGGTAATTATTTTGGACATTAGTCAAGATGATTTAAATATTTTGGACAGTAGTTAAGGTAATTTATTTATTTTAGACAGTAGATAAGGTAATTATTTTGGACATTAGTCAAGATGATTTAAATATTTTTGACAGTAGTTAAAATAATTGAATCATTTTGGACAGTGGTTAACAAAACTTATCACTGTTAAAAGGCGCCAGTGCAGTTATACAAACAATGTACTTTGTTTATACAGATATACAAACAGTGTACAGTGTTGGTGAACGTGAGAGACAGACCCAAGGTACAGTGGCCTGGCCCTCATTATATGGCCTGACATGTTCTCTGACAGCTTATGTTAGTTCGTTTGACTTGTACTGAACACACCTTATTGATTGCGACTTCACCTCTGGGCTTGATCAAGGGTGCCCAGTGAGTAGGCAGTTCAAGATTAAATCAACTCTTCTTTATCCACCATATTAGGTTTAATGACGACGCTAATAATGAAGAAATAAATACCAATCCCTTTTGCATGTGGAATATTTGACATTAAGTTACATCATTTACATTGTTTGTTGTCTAGTGTACTTTGTATTGTAATTGGTAATATGGTCTTCGGGTAAAACATTTATATTACTTTCTACTTAATATGAACATCATTAGTTTGAGATAATATGTTAGTGTTTCATGTATGACGTGAAGGATATTTAGTACTGCACCTTGAACAGCTCCCAGCCTCCCACTACGCCTTGGTGTGTTGGGCTGCCTGGTCCTACTCTCCATCCACCAGCTGACTAGACTGTACTGACCCTCACGACTCTATTGGGTAGCTACGATAACAGAGATTAGATAGGAAGTGTAAGGTTTTTAAAATCTGCTTCGCTCTCTCTCTCTCCAGTAAGAACGCCTCTCACACACACACCCACTACTACTACCACTACTACTTTGTTGTCATTCGGAATCGAGTTTGACGGTCATAATGTAGACCCTGCTGCCATATGGCATCACAAAAATTACGACCAAGTCCCAGGTTGCTGATCTGAATTTCTGCCTCATTTACACACAATTGTAGGGTCTCAATTGTTTCTCTTACCATTGACAACACAACATACATATATCGTTTCTCACTCTTGATATTTGTTTTTAATATTTGTATTTCTTTATGGTTCTTTATTATTATTATTATTATTATTATTATTATTATTATTATTATTATTATTATTATTATTATTATTATTTTATTTAAAAAAAATCTGAATTTTATTTACTATGAATTATTATTATTATTATTATTATTATTATTATTATTATTATTATTATTATTATTATTATTATTATTATTATTATTATTATTATTATTATTATTATTATTAGTGTTGTTGTTGTTGTTGTTGTTGTTGTTGTTGTTGTTGTTGTCGTCGTCGTCGTCGTTGTTGTTGTTGTTGTTGTTGTTGTTGTCACATTTTCGCCCTCCAGGCCCCGACATGGGTCAGTGACCTGCGCCCATGTGGGCTAATTACCTAAAAAAAAAAGAAAAAAAATTACCAAGCGTACGGTGGGCTGCCTCTCAAAATTTAGCGGAGTAACAGTTATGACGTATCCAATAGCAGCTATTAATGACCAGGAACAGAGGGGGGGTTGTGTCCAGAGGCTCAGAGCTAATTATTTTTACTGTAATGTTAAACTATTTTTTTTACAGTACTTATTATTGATTGTAAATTATATTATGGCAAGAAAAATGATATAAAATGTTCTTACGTAATTTTGAAAGCTAACTGTATTTATTAAGGATTACAGAAAGCGTATTCCAACATCATCAATTATATTCCAGTTTGGGTATGAGGCCCCCCGACCACCATGATATAGGAGGCCCCCACCACTATGATATAGGAGGCCACCTGACCACCATGATATAGGAGGCCACCCGACCACTATGATATAGAGGCCCCGACCACAGATATAGGAGGCCCCCTGACCCTGACCACCATGATATAGGAGGCCACCGACCACCATATAGGAGCCACCTGACCACCATGGTATAGGAGGACCGACCACTATGATATAGGAGGCCATCTGACCACCATGGTATAGGAGGCCACCCTGACCACCATGGTATAGGAGGCCACCTGACCACTATGGCATAGGAGGCCATCCGACCACCATGATATAGGAGGCCACCTGACCACCATGATATAGAGGGCCCTGACCACCATGATATAGGAGGCCCCTGACCACCATGATATAGGAGGGACCACGCCACCCCATACTGAGGTAAGTACCGACCACCAGCGGGCCAGGAGGCCACCTGACCACCATGATATAGGAGTCACCTGACCACTATGGTATAGAGGCCACCCGACCATGGTATAGGAGGCCACCTGACCACTATGGTATAGGAGGCCATCCGACCACCATGATAGGAGGCCACCTGACCACTATGACCATGATATAGGAGGCCCCCGACCACCATGATATAGGAGGCCCCCGACCACCATGATATAGGAGGGACCACCATATAGGAGGACCCCCATGGTATAGGAGGCCACCCGACCACTATGATATAGGAGGCCATGACCACCATGTATAGGAGGCCACCTGACCACATGGTATAGGAGGCCACCGACCACCATGGTATAGGAGGCCACCGACCACCATGATATAGGAGGCCACCTGACCACCATGATATAGGAGTCTACCTGACCACATGGTATAGAGGCCACCTGACCACCATGATATAGGAGGCCACCGACCACTATGGGATAGGAGTCCCCGACCACCATGATATAGGAGTCTACCCGACCCTATGGTATAGGAGGCCACCTGACCACCATGATATAGGAGGCCACCCGACCACCATGGTATAGGAGGCCACCTGACCACCATGATATAGGAGTCTACCTGACCACCATGATATAGGAGTCTACCCGACCACCATGGTATAGGAGGCCACCTGACCACTATGGAGGCCGACCACCATGATATAGGAGGCTAACCACCAGGCCACCCGACCACCATGGTATAGGAGGCCACCCGACCACCATGGTATAGGAGTCTACCCGACCACCATGGTATAGGAGGCCACCCGACCACCATGATATAGGAGTCTACCCTACTCCCGACCACCATGGCACAGGAAAGTCTTCGGCGAGATACAAATAACTGGGACTGTTTGGAAAGATGGGCCATGGTCGCCAACCCTCAGCTTAAAGACCACACTCTTATATCTGTATGTATGTATGTATGTATGCATGTATGTATGTATGTATGTATGTATTGACCTCCAGAAAATACTTATCCCATGTGTTTTGTAATGTGTGTGTTTGTGTAACTCATATCACAGAGTCGGTATAACACGAGGTCACTTATCGTGTGTGTGTGCGTGTGTGTGTGTGTGTGTCGGGGGATTACTTGACCAAAAGCATAATATGAATTTAGAATAAGGCGACATAATTTACTGAGTTCATTTATACATAAAAAAAAAAAGAAAAAAAAAAACGTAAGCAAATAAAAAAAAACAACGAAAAACCAAAACTAAACGAACCCCGCCCCTCAAAAAAAAGTATTCAAAACAAAGCAAAACAAAACGAACCATAAAACACAGAACAAACACTCCTCCAAGATTTCTCCTAAAGGTTTTAAAAATATAGGAATTAACAAACACAAGAATCCATTTTCATTGTGTTAATCTGTACAAACTCACTCAGCACGTAAAGTCCCACAATAGTCTCGGGCCTTTAATAAAATATATCCCTCCAAATTTCTTATCAACACTCCAAAACTTCGACTTAACCTTCAAAAACATAAAAAAAAAAAACTATATTATTAATTGTTTTCATCAAGATTGGTATGTCAGTAATAAATGTCATTATTATTTGTTCACTGTTATTAATATTGTTACGTTGGCGATAAGTCTTGAATAATTCGCAAGTCATTCTCTGATAATGACATCAGGAATGTCAACGGGCTTATATAGTCATAACTGTTATCACTGTACTAAAGCCAATGGTCTTGTGTCATTTCTGTCTCCTGTAATTGAGAGAGGGACTTAAGATAAAGACAAATATCTCACTGTATTGTAGAAATCATGTCGAGTGACCTTATTTTGACGTATTTTGCCGTAGTTAAGGATATAAAAAATTAAACAACAAGCGAACACACCAAGAAAACATATCACTTGAATATATTATACTTTCTGTGGTCACCATCCTTCCCACCAGTCTAGTGTCGACACAACTTTCATCTTTGATTAAACATTACTACTCCACCTCCACCACCAGGAATCCCCGTTAATTGCAGTGTATGTAAAATGACTGCACGAGAGAACTACTTTAATTAGACACAATCACTCAGTTACAGTACTTTAGGGACACCATATACACTCGTTACTAGTTAAGGTAGAGTCTCAGTGAAATTTTGATGCATCGTTGAGAAAAAAGTTTTGATCTTTGGTATAATACAACCGCGTAGTTGCATTTATAAACAAGGCAAGAGCTGTGTTTATCCTACGAATCTTTCAATAATCTGTACCTTTACACGAAGCAAGGTACTCCCCCACACGGGCATTCAGATAAAGTTGCCTAGATCCAGGACCTACGCCCATCGTGACAAGGAAGTTATACTCGACAATATATATAATTGTAGTTAGGTAAGGACTGGATGTCAATGCTTTGTAAGAGACTCGAGGCGCCATCAATTGGATCATAACCGCGGTGATAACACTGGTCGAGACACTTCCTGAGGCTGAGGTAGTTAGTTACTGGTGTGCTGGTGGAGTGGTACAGTGTAGCGCCCTCACCTCCTCCCCACGGAACACTGCTTGGTACTGTTCACTGTTCTTCGTGACGTCTGTGCTGTTATACGCTGTTATTCAGGTTAAGAAAAGGAGAGCAACTTGAATTCAATATCTCTAGTGAATACCGTAAGTGTGTGTGTGTGTGTCTTGTGTCGTAGTGACCTTGGTGTGTTTGGGATTACCTGTCCAGTAAATTAGACTCCTTAGTTTATTTCACCTGTAGATTAACCATCCTAACGGTACCTGGGAGAGGGTTTAGGTTATGTTAGGCTAGGTAAGTTAGGTTAAGTTACATTAGGTTAAGTTAGGTTAGCCTTTGGGTGGCTAATTTCCAGGTGATTAAAGTGCCAGTACTGATGATAAGCGTCTCATAGTACTGGTAGCAATACTCGTCTCCTGGGCTGTGACTTAACCATTGCTGCATGTTGTTCGAGGGCGTTTTTTTTTAATACAAGTTGTTAGTCAATAAATATATGTAATTTATATAACCTAATCTAACCTAACCTAACCTAACCCACACCTGTCACATTGAACAGAGTACCGAGAATCTATAACAGTAACATTTAATGGCGTTCTCGATGGTAGTGAAATCCTAACAACCTCAGACACTTGATTGTACTGACGAGACCAGAAGCTTCTGACGGAGGAACAAATGGGGGAATGTCAGGTGTATATTATCAATACAAATAATAACAAAAAACAACAAAAACAACTCTACTACTACTACTACTACTACTACTACTACTTTTTTTTTTTAACGTGGCCTCCAGCCTCCCCCAATAGCCACACCTTCGCCGCCATTTATTTACCTTAATATTAAATATCCTAATACATAAGAAGCTATCCTAACTGTGTTAGATTAGTTGAGCCGCAGATCTATGCGGCATTCAGTGACTGTAGCCTCATAGTCAATATCTGCAGCAGTTGTTGGCGTAGGGGCAGAAGCTCTCGTTCCCCTGAGGCAGAGCAAAGCCGACCGAAGGAGAGAGAAGGACAGTCGACATCTCATCCAGGCTGTAACATAACTTCTGGGCTGCTGCTTCTGTTCGGAGATCAACTCCGCGAGTCTGGCGTAGAAACATCTTGCACTTGGGCCCATCCCACCAGAGGTTGTGAACACTAGAGGAGTGAAGCTGCCTTGATCAACATTTTGAATTCTCTCCCCATATGCCCGTCTCTTGTCGTTCTCGTTCCTCCTATGTGCAGCATCGAGAGCTAGGTTACGGTGACAAGCGGCCATGGGATCAAAAATCCTGATGTCGAAGAAAGCTCGCTGTCCCCGCGTCCAGAATCCTCGAGCACTGACGTCCACACGGGCTTCGTTAGATGTGTTTGAAGTCCTGTGTTGGAAGATCTCGCCATCCAGTGGAAGGAGGGTCGGTTCTACCATGACGTCCCGGCAGATTTCCTTCAACATATTTGCTGTGAGATCCCTTACCTCGTCATGCCTCATGCATATGAAGCCCCCCTTCTTGCAGACCATGGCGTGATCGCCATCATAGGAAGAGCCACACACGCATTGGGAGGGCAAACCATCTACTGGCCAACCGTACCTTAGAGCAATGGCATCTGTAAATTCTTGTTTGTTAAGGCTGAAACCATTTGCCCTTATCGGTAACGTAGTTAACCAGTTCGAGGCGCCCACCTCCTGCGCTATAGCTACTTTTTTTGTCAAATTTTCTGGAACCTGCAGCAATAGTTGCTGCAACATGTCATTTTGGCTGTGCTGCCGATCTGTTGTAATGGACCTACGGATCTTATTTACTTCGCTGGTGTCCACTTCCCCTGTTGCATTCTGGGCTATTATGTGGTCAGTGAGGGCTGCCGTGAGCTTAAGTGAATTCTGATGTTCAGTGTCAGCAATCTCCTCTGGATTAGTTAGTCCCATCCCTCCCAGTCACGATTGTAGATAATAATTTATACTGATGTAGACGTACAGTATTTAGCGCCAGGCATAATGCTCACCATCCTTGCACAAGAGGTGGAGTTTACACGGGCCATAATTAAAACATTGTGTAAGACCAATAGCTGGCATTACTAAAGATAAGACTTGTGATAACTTGATGTCATGCAATCTAAATCTCATCGGCACCACAGCCCAACACACGAACAATATTATTTAGTATGGTGGAATAAATATCGGTTTTATAATAATAGACTGAAGAAAACACAGCCTAGACTACCAGAGAGAGACGCTATCGTGACCACACACAATCCCTATACTAAGTTACTGTTGGAGGCTTAGGGAAAGAGTATCGTACGCACCATTATTAATCTGGACTTAGGATTTAGTACTGTGTTAAAGGTTATAGTTATTTAATCCCTCTGGTGGTGTTTCAGACTTATAAACATTGTCCTGAAGGTGTAAACATGAGAAGGACTCTAGGAGTTAGTTAAGTGTCCTACCAGTGATGTAATATTAGCTGTAAACACTACACGCCTAATACATTCCCACACACTACACCCTCACCCACACTACACTTTCCCACACCACACCTCACCCACAGGAAAATAACCACGTCACACGCCCACGATAAGATAGCTTGTAATATAATGCCTCGGTGATAACAGGTGACACACGCGTTGCGGAATACAAGGCAAATCTCTCTCTAGTGGACAAGGAAATGTCAGAGTACGTAAACTATTACTACGACTGTATAGTGAAAGTAATTCTATTAGTTCAACTATTCACTACTACTACTACTACTACTACTACTACGGGGCCTCCATCCTCCCCTGATAGCCACACCTTCGCCGCCATTTTATTACCTTAAATTAAATATCATAATACATAAGTAGCTATCCTAGTTGTGTTGAGTTAATTGAGTCGCACATCTATGCGGCATTCAGTGACTGTTGCTTCATAGTCAATATCTGCAACTGTTGTCGGCTTTGGGGCCGATGCTCTCACTCCCCTGAGGTAGAGCAAAGCCGACCTAAGGAGAGAGAAGGACAGTCGACATCTCATCCAGGCTGTAGCATAACTTCTGGGCTGCTGCTTCTGTTCGTATAGCACTACTACTACTACTACTACTACTACTACTACTACTACTAATAATAATAATAATAATAATAATAATAATGATAATAATAATAATAATAATAATAATATGGTAGAAAAAAAATAATATGAGGAGGAAAGACATTTATATTTATATTAGTGTGTAGGCAGAGGTGAGGTACAGTAGTCATAGGTGCTTCTAATATTGGTTCAGTGATAAGTTATGGGAAAGCTGATAACCTTGTGTGTCTTGACTATACATAAACCCCTTTGGTGTTATGTAGAGAGAGAGAGAGAGAGAGAGAGAGAGAGAGAGAGAGAGAGAGGTGGGTTCGACAATACAGTAGGATTAACTCTATGTCATAAACTACTTAATTGTTTGTTTGACTGTGTTAGGTACTCACTACTCCCCCAATCCTATTTCTCCCGTCGTCATACCGTGGTATATGGGGGTGATGATCATCTCTAGGGGGGTGATAACACGAGGAAATTGCACTAAAGGGAGCTTAAAGTATTTGTTGTATCATACGTCCGCCAACATCCCTTTTCCGCTGCCAGTGTTACCATCCCAAATTGTCGTACTTCATTGAGACTTGAGATAGAGAACAAAGTCAAGTTTATACGATATCTGCTGACAACTGACTGTAATTTCTGCAGGTGTTTGTTGATAAGAGTTTGATGCTGGAGTGAAGTTGTAAGCACGAATGACATGTCTATTAGCAGGTCAAATGTAATGATGTATTCAGAAGATATTGGCTCTAAATGAGTTCAATATATGACGTCATCAAAGAGAGTTCAAATAAATCACGTCACCACAACCTACAACTCTGATGATGTCAATCCTAGAGAAAAAAAAAATTCTTCGTGACGTTATCGATACTTACAAATGTGTGACGTCATTATCAGATAACCCTCCGTAAATCCTCTCGGGGGAAGGATAGCATAACCCTCATATCAGTGTCACAACATAATGCGGAAGTAGTTGTGATGTGCCTATTGATGTTGAGGTTAAATGGGCCCCTAGTCTTAACAAAACCCCAATCTAATAGGTTCCAGTTCTAATAGGCACTGAACTAATAGGCTCCATTCTAATAGGCACCATATTTATAGGCCCCAGTTCTAATGGACCCCAACCTAATACGATAAGAACTAGGAATCTATTACTACTTAACCTCATCACAGGTTATATTTACTTCATCTATTTTGACCCGTAAATAAACCCACCATTAATTACCAATACTATAGGTATCAGTGGCGGCCATATTAACCCCCTCCCTCCCCCGTCTCTCCACCACCCTTCCTTCTCGTGATTTTTTTTTTTGGGGGGGGGGTTATTTGTGATTTTTTAACTACAGTATGTGATTTGATCTGTCATACTATAACAGTGAAGGTAAATAGAGTGAATTGGTTGGTGTGTTGTAGGTTATAAACATTATCTGATGAAAACAAAGATTAAATGGCTCAATGGTGTAGTAACTTAGAGCCATTTATGATCTTTTTTTTTTTTATGTATTTTTGTTATTTGTAAATCGATTTATTTGATCCAGTTCGTGTTGTGTGATTTTTTTTTTTAATGGTCGTCTTTACTGAGATTGGGTTTTGTGTATCAGTATTGTAATTGTTATGCCAGATTTAACTTGGGTTTTCATGCACCACAGTTACACACACACACACACACACACACACACACACACACACTTACTAGCAATGACTAGGCGGGTCACCAGCTGTCAGACATACGAGAGAGAGAGAGAGAGAGAGAGGCAACGTTTTAAATCTTTCAACTCTTATCTTCTCACTGTTACCATAACTCAGGTCCCACTGTAAACAACCATATGATCAAGACTAAACACTCTAGTTACATGACTACAAGTGACGACAACAGGAAGGGTGACGCTTATGTGTTTGTGTGTGCTTATCTGTAGTCGGTGATGCAGTGGCAGTTTGAAACAGATAGCACGCCGATAGTGATAAGAACCAACACGAACTACACAGTCCCTCGTACACTGGTTGCGACCACCATAGTCCACTGAACGTCTTTCTGTCTCTCTGGCTACATCACACCAACGAGAACTTGTCTTTGGTTATAGAGTTCGTGTGTGATGTTAACTTGTAAATCTGGACGACTCTGCCCCAACATCTAGGTAAGCCAATACTACTAATAAAAATAATTAGTAATAGGTAGTTAGTTAAAGTGTGTCATGAAGTGTTTGTGCATAGTAGAGTTCTTATGACAACAACATTTGGTGTTCTTAGGGTGGCGTGTTTTAACCCCAGTACTAACCACACAAGGTCCTACGCCATACCCCCAGCGTCGTAGTTGTCGTCGTTGTCGTCAATTAAAAGTTTTAAGTCTATTCTTGTTTTTTAGACTTTAAGATAATGGTGTAATTACAGGTGGAGCGCTTCACATAACACTACATTGTTAATATTGTTTTTTCTTATAGTATCAGAGAGAGAGAGAGAGAGAGAGAGAGAGAGAGAGAGAGAGAGAGAGAGTATATAAATGCCTCTTCCATCTCCTCCGGAAATTACTGTAGGTTCAGAGTCAAGATAACGAATTGTTGACAAAGACAAACATAGCAACTAACGACAGAGAGATTACTATGTGAGATACAGATAAGGTTTTCTGAGGATTAGGGCCATTAATATTAGGGTCTATAAAGATTAGGGCCATAAATATTGGGATTTATAAGGATCAGGATAATTAATTTTAGGATTTATAATGATTTGGACCTTTAATATTTGGATTTATAAGGATTAGGACCATTAGAACTGACTCATTTTCATTATTCTACGGCAGATAAAGCAGTGACGAGTGAATGCGTCAGATTCTGATAAAAAACAAAAACACTGAACGCAGCACTGGACACTTGAGGGTACTGGAACAGTGAACGCAGCTGTGATGCGAAAGTTGTGAACGCGTGGTGGTAGATCTGTGAACACGAAGAATCTCAGATGAGGTGACAGTGAACAGTGACCGCGTGAAGATTTGTTGTCTCAGTGACGTGTATAAGAATCTCTAACTACTGTAGTGAACGCCGACTCTTATGGTAGTGACAGTAGTATCGAAAGAGTAAACGCTAACTTTATGTACAGTAAACGCAAAACGCCACATTAGTGAACGCAAACTTTCAGACCAGTGAATACAAGTGTAAAGGAAACTCAAAACAAACATCTTTATGCATCCAGACGCAGACGTGGAACCTCCTGCACCTTCAGCCACCCCTTCAGGTATGTCTATGAGCGCGCGTGTGTGTAATAATAATAATAATAATAATTAACGGTTTATTGAAAGAGCATGGCAGCCAGAAGGCTGAAAATATACAATTACATAACTGGGGAATGGGTCTCATGATTTACAATTGATATACAAGTAACATAAGTGATACAAATGTGATATATAATAATTAGATGGGGAGAAGGTCATACTGCAGGGCATTTCAACATAGTAACAGTGCAAAAAATAAGATTGACTGGGAGTGAATACACTGGTTGATTACGAGCTGTTGATAATTTTTACAATGGTTGGGACTGGGCTGTTCTTATAGCGATCAGTTCGTGCTCGTATGGGCTGGATGCGGTTGTGGTGTCGAACAGCAATTGTGTGACGAGGGATGTGTGTGTGTGTGTGTGTGTGTGTGTGTGTGTGTGTGTGTGTGTGTTCATAGATGAATGTGTGCGTGCCTGATAAGAATTATGTGTGTATATTTAATCGTAGTCTACGCAATATTTTATTTATTTATTTATTTAACTATTTATTTATGTGTTTGTGTTACTTTGAATATCTTTGTGATTGCATCTGTGTATATGTGTGTAAACTTACAGGTGCATGGATGAGTGCATATGTGTGCGTTTGTGTACGCATGTAAGTACTGTATGTGTAACTTACCCTGGTCCTCGTCTCTCCGCCTATCTCCCCCTTCCTTACTTCCATCTTTCTCCTCATTTATCTATTTTTTCCGCCTCTCCCTCGTCTCTCCTTGACCAGCTCTTCTCCCATTTATCTCTCCACCCTATTTTACCATCCATTCTCTTCTATCCGTCTCTTCTCACCGTCTCACCACTGTCACTTCATCCCATCTCTCTCCTCCACCTCCCTATCTCTTCTCCACATCCTCCACTCCACCCCTGTCTCACCGTCTCGTATCTCCTCTCTCTGTCTCTTCTAGCGGCGAGACGGCGGAAGAAGAGCGTATGGCGGAAGTTGCTGCTCCTGGGGTGGAAGAACCTCCTGTTGAGGAAGAGACACTGGCTCCTCACCACCTTCGAGATCCTCCTCCCGGCCCTCCTCTTCACCCTCCTCCTCACCATTAGGTTACTCCCTGACAGTGATTTCCTCCCGAAGTACATTAATAAGGTGAGTGGGTCAGGCACAACCCCTTTCTTGTTTATGGACAGGAGATTCACTCGATGACAGCCCCAGATTATCGACAGACAGACAGACAGAGAGATAGACAGACAGACTGAAGAATAAAACATCAAAACCTTAACTTAAAATGCAAAAACAAAATATAATATAATAAATCAATGATAATCTAGGGGCTACCAGCAGTAAGTGGAAACGTTAACTGAATGCAGATAAATTAGTAGAAAAATTAAATAAATAACAGAAGCAAAAAAAAATAAAAAGGCGTGTATGAAACTCAGAATCTTTGTAAACTAACTTTTTTATTATTAATAAATTTTTATCTTTAGTCTCTTACAGATATCAATGGTCATCGGTCAGAACTTTACACGCACACACACACACACACACACACACACACACACACACACACACACACACACACACACTCTCTCTCTCTCTACCCCATGATATGAACCTTAATATAACGTCTAATAACATCGACTCCTCGTACAGAACTCGACCTTCCCGCCGACCACAGAGTTGAACCTGCGGAAGATTGTCTGTGGGCACTACGGTCACTGGATGGACTTATTTCTCAAGTGCTTGGTGATTGAGAACTTCCTGCCAGGGGATAGGAAGCTATTCTATGGTCCTCCTGGTAACTTCACACAGGGAGTCGCTGAATACGTTGCCGATTACTTGGGTCTTCATCATAGTGGTAAGGGCGAGAGGAAGTAATAGAGGGAGGAAAGGAGGGAGGGAGGAAGGGAAGGAGGGAAGGAGGGAGGGAGGGGTTGTCTTAGTGCATTCTCTATCTTCACGAATTAACATTAAGTGCCATTTATAAATAAACCCTAGTCTTCTCAGCATTTGTAATTCATCTATGGCGTCTCAATATCCTTGTAAATATTTACTATCGCCTTGGTTTCCTTTGCAAATATTTCCTGTCAGTTATACCTTTAATATTGGGGGATTTATCTCAAATCCTTTTACAGTGGTGAGTGAAGGGCTGTTTATTAGTTTTGTTTACAAAGTTCACCAGCAGCGCCTCCCCTTGTGTTTCAGCCCTCGAGCCCGTGGCCACTAACCATGACATGGACGTCCTTGTCGATAAGTCGTACTTCGAGACCAACAACTCCCTCGCCGCCTTCTACGTGGGTCTCTATTTCCACGACCTGGACGACCCTGGACCCGAACCTCCCAAAAACCTGAACTACGACCTGAGACTCTCCGGGTACTGGCAAACCTCCCAGTTGTACCCTTTCCTTCAGATACCAGGGCCGAGGAACTTCTCCAGTAAGTCATGGCAGCGTGTACATATCTGTGCTCCTTTACAAGCGTCTAAGTGGGCTTATTCACACTTAGAGATGCATGTATAGTCTACTCACGTTTGCATTAGCACTCGTGTTCATGCATCTACTACACACATGCATTCACGCTTGTAGAACTTCACTCTGGAGACCGCCAGTACAGTTGGTCTATTCATACCTCAAGAAATGTGTACAATCTATGGACTCATTACCACTATCTTGACTAAGCTCCGTCTCACTCCCTACAGTATTCGGTAACCTGGGGGGGAGCTACAATATGGGCGGCTTCACCTTGATCCAGAGCGTCGTGGATAGGTACTACATCAGTCAACTCACCGGGGACGAATCTTACTCAACCAAGTACAAGGTAAGGTTCCTAGGGGGGTGTAGGGGAGGGGAGGAAGGATGTTGGTGGTGATGGGGGATGTAGTGTAGTGGTGGTGGAGGATGGGGTGTACTGGGTAGGTGTAGGGTATAAGGGAGAAAGGGTTTGTGCTCTGGTGTGGTGAAATCTGGAGGAGATGAGTGTGTCGTTTTGGAAGAAATGGGACGTGACGAAGAGTGTGGTAGGGTGTGGCAGAGTGTGGTAGGGTGTGACACAGTGTGGTAGGGTGTGGCAGAGTGTGGTAGGGTGTGACACAGTGTGGTGGAACATACGGAAGGCGGGGTATGGGGCCTTCCTTCACAGCTGCCACACCCACATCCTACAATACTTCATGATCCACACACACACCCACATGCTACAATACTTCACGATCCACACACACACCCACATGATCCACACTCCCACATCCTACAATACTTCATGATCCACACACACACCCACATGATCCACACACCCACATCCTACAATACTCCATGATCCACACACACTCTCATTCTAGAACCTGGTCTCTCCCTACCAGCTTGAGACGCAGATGTACCCCTACCCGCCTTACGTACAGGATGACGGGATGAGTCAAATCTACGGATCCATCCTCCCAACCTTCATTGTGTTATCGCTGGTGTTACTCTCTCCCTCCCTCATCAAAAGTGTGGTGTATGAGAAGGAGACTGGAGTGAGGGTAAGTTATCATCATCATCATTAACATCATTATTATCATTATCATTATTATCATTTATTATTACCAGAGGGTAGGTCGGTAGGTCATCATTATCGTCATCAGAGGGTATTCATCATCATCATCAGAGGGTAGGTCATTCATCATCATCATCATCATCATCATCATCATCATCATCATCATCATCATCATCATCATATTATGTTACATGTTCAAGGTGGTTCTCAGCTTGTTAGATCACCAACACAAACAAAACTGTATCTGTTAATTTATTTTTTTACCTTGTTCTTGGTTAGGTTAGGTTATGTTAGTTTAAATTAGGAGCTATAAGAGACTGAATCCCATTTGACCTATGACCTGTAACCAAACTATCAAGTGATCTCTTCCTCCTTCCATCTTCTCAGGAACTGGTACGGTTGATGGGGCTGGACGGGTGGTTGGTGTGGTTGGGTTGGTTCCTCCACTCCTTCATCGTCATCGTCATCAACGCCACCATCATTACGATACTCCTGAAGGTACAGGTGGCGTCGGTGCAAGATGGAGAAGGATACCTACCTCCCATCCTCAATTACAGTGACCCTTTTTTTCTATGGGTCTTGTTGATCCTCTACGGCATCTCCTCCATCGCCTTCTGCTTCGTCATCGCCACCTTCTTCAGTAAACGTGAGTCGAAATCAGGAGAGAATTATAGAAGTGTAATAGAACGTTAAATCAAGTCATCAAGTTGAGGAAACATAAATGGTAACCCAGAATGGACAAAGTTACCATCGGTCGCGCTATGATTTGTTTTAATATATTCGAGTGTGTGTTGTTTATTCACACGAGAGCAAGTTACCTTTACTAACATAAACACGTCGTTCTTACTAACATTCTACCATGACCCTGTTCCCTTTGTCAGCGACTCTGGCCACTACTCTGGGTATCCTGGTGTGGTTGACCTCGTACTTCATCCCTCAGAGCCTCATGGAATACGACTACGACACTATGGGTCTGGCTCCCAAGCTGTCTTCCTGCCTCCTCCCCAACATGGCCCTAACCTGGGCCTTCAAGGTCATCTCTATGTTCGAGGGTAGAGGTGAGTGAGAGATAGAGAAGGGAGAGAGGGAGGGTAGGGGAACAAAAGAAGGGGGTGGAGGGAAGAAAGGGATGGGTGTTGAGTGTTCAAGAATGATACTGAATAGGAGAGAGAGGGAGAGATAGATAGATAGAGAGAGAGAGAGAGAGAGAGAGAGAGAGAGAGAGAGAGTCCAGTTCCCTCACGATTAGTTCATCCTGACAGCCATCGGCGTACATTGGGACAACCTGTGGGAAACGGGCAACATTCGAGACCAACTGACGCCGGCCATGATCCTGTTAATGTTGCTGCTGGACACTTTCCTCTTCCTGTTCATCACCTGGTACGTGGACCAGGTCAGCCCGGGGATGTACGGCGTCCCTCAGCGCTGGTACTTCCCTTTTCAGGTCAGTACAGCAGGTATAATATTGTTATTTAAGCCCTGGAAGTAATCTAATACTAAGTAAACAACGGATGGATTGAAGATTAGGCAGCCAAGCTTACTTTATTTCACCTGATGACTAAACAAACTAATGCTAACCTAACCTAACCTAACCTAACCTAACCTAACCTAACCTCCTTCACTGTAATATCTTTTTCAATCCTGACGTTGCAGAAGACGTATTGGTGTGGTGCGCCGCCTGTATCTCCGGAGGACCACCAGCAGGAGACACCAGGCACTGACAAGGATAACTTTGAGAGGGATCCTGTAGGACTCACACCTGGCATAGTCATCAAGAACCTCAGGTATATACTGAAGAAGAAAATGGGTCCCAGTTTTAAGAGTTGCTTAGAACTTAACTTTCTCATGAGGTCCCTGGAGAGTCATAAAACTGAACAGGATTTAGTGATAGATTAGGATCTGGTCTTATGAGTCAGGTCACTCTCCTAAGGCACTGGAAGAGCCTTAAGCAGTAGCTGAGACCTGGATGTTATGAGTGGTGACTGTGGACCACCATGTAAGGTAGTAATAATAATGGTGGTTGTGGTGTTGCAGGAAGGAGTTCAAGACGCTGGGAGGAAAGGTGAAGGTGGCGGTGGAGAACGTGTCCATGACGTGTTACCAGGGTCAGTGTACCGTGTTGCTGGGTCACAACGGTGCTGGCAAGACCACCACCATGTCCGTCCTCACAGGTCAGCTCTTCTTCTGTCTGTCTGTCTACGTGTCTCTTGTTCTCCCTTGATATTTGTGTGCGTGTTACTGAGGTCATGAAAGGCTAAGCATTAAGCCAGCGTCAGTGCGAGCAATCATCAACGTCTGGCGCCTCCTTCCACCCCTTAATGACAAGCTTATTGATGTTGCTTCTGTCGCAAATTAACCCACCGTCCGCCTTTACTTGCGCTATTTGTTTTACGGTACGAGACGAGTATAAGTGTTTCCAAGTGACAGCAAGGGATCTACTCCTGTAGGTGTGTACGCCCCAAGCGGTGGATATGCTGAAGTAGGAGGGTGGAACATTGCCACCAACCTGAAGGAGGCGCGGGAGGAGGTGGGTCTCTGTCCTCAACACAACATGCTCTTCGTCGACCTCACCGTCATGCAGCATCTTCTCTTCTTCGGCAGGGTGAGCTTATACACCCTTCTTCCCTAACCTAACCTAATCCCACTCCCTTCCCGCACCTCAGAAACAGCAACAATAACAAGAATAATGATGATGATATCATTAATACTGTTTTGGGGAATATTAGACGGAATCCTTCTAAAATGCCTCTGTTTTTCTATCTCTCCCACAGCTGAAGGGGATGACGACGAAGGATGCGAAGGCGGAGGCGGAGGCGCTGCTGGAGAGGTTGGAGCTAAAGGAGAAGACGAACATGTTTGGCAACCAACTGTCTGGCGGGATGAAGAGGAAGTTGTGCCTGGCTATCGCCCTCATAGGTGGCTCCAAGGTAAAGGAGAGAGAGAGAGAGAGAGAGAGAGAGAGAGAGAGAGAGAGTTCATGCAACTCAAACCCTCACTTTACCGCGTTCTTAAGCGGGTAACATTGCTATTATTTACATTAGAAGGCAAACTACAGGAAATCCCTGCAGGTGGTGATCCTTGTTCCTCCTGCAGGTGGTGATCCTTGTTCCTCCTGCAGGTGGTGATCTTTGTTCCTCCTGCAGGTGGTGATTCTTGTTCCTCCCACAGGTGATGATCCTTGTTCCTCCTGCAGGTGGTGATCCTAGACGAGCCGAGCAGTGGGCTGGACCCTGAGTCTCGCCGGTGGGTGTGGGACGTGGTGCAGAGAGAGCGAGGGCGCCGCACCGTCCTCGTCACCACACACCACATGGAGGAGGCCGACGTCCTGGGCGACCGAGTAGCCATCATGGCCTCCGGCAAGGTGGTGTGTGCCGGCTCTACACTCTTCCTCAAGAACAAGTTTGGTAAGGCAAAGAGAATCTTATTGGGCGTGGATTACGTCCTCGCCATGGTATTTTGACTTCACTCGTGTACACAGAATGGCGTTCTCACTGCGGTAACGACCTCCTCCTGAACTTACATTTGGGTCAAGAGTGTCATATGAACACACACTTTTTACCTTCTATTTTCACCTAAGATTTTTCTTACCATAAGGGCAATGAAAGTCCAAGCTAGAAGAACAACTGTACACAGAGGGGAGAGAATTTTGAAATTTCTCTCGTAACTGATCACTGACACAAGATATTAACACCGCACTTACACAGGCAGTTAATTAACATTCGTACACAAATAGCCTCAACCACAGCATCACAGGAGGCACGTGAATACTACAGTGACACTTACAAGAGCTGAGGACGGGACGGGGCAGCAGCCAACGTCGGTGCTGCCCTCTGTCGTACAGAGTGAAGAGTGACGGAGGCAGACAATGGCGTCACTATACGATATCCCGCTATGTTGATTACTACGTGTACCTGTATTTCACGATGTACTTATGCTTATAAATACTTTTACATGATTCCATGTTTGCTTAGGCATCACCTGCATGAGAACATGGGTTCGACCCTTAATGCCTGTCGGCTATGAGTAGGATCTATTAGAACTAGGACCGACCACCTCCCTCATGTCCTCAGGTGACGGCTACTCCCTCACTGTGATGGTGTCTGAGGCCACCAACATGAAGGAGATGAAACAAGAGGTAACCAAACACCTACCCTTGGCCACCCTCCGCTCCGCCCAGGGTGGTGAGGTCACCTTTAAACTCCCGCCCAACACCGCCCAGTTCGCCCCACTGCTTGACGCCCTCAGTCGTAGGAAGGAAGAGCTGGATATTCGCCACTTGGGCCTCTCCCTCACTAGCATGGAACAGGTGTTTCTCAGGTAATACATTATATTATATAGGTGCAAAACACTCACCCTCCCTTTTTTTAACCCAGTTTGAAACACAGGTATAACACAGATATTCTAATATAAATGTGACCCACGCCTTTACCAAGTTTAAAATATATTTAGTAAATAATTTAACACACACACACACACACACATACACACACACACACACACACACACACACTAGGTTTAATACACGTTTGCTTGAGGGATAAACATGTTTTATTTAATTATGGAAACAACCACTTTAATTTAGTTCCTCAGTTTGCAACAACATTCACTAATTGTGTGTGTGTGTGTGTGTGTGTGTGTGTGTGTGTGTGTGTGTGTGTGTAGTAACTGTAGTAGTAGTAGATCTCTCCTCAACAGTTTACACTCGGTATAAAAGTTCACTGTAATAACTAAACTATAATCTTAATTATAAAACTGAAAATTTGGCAAGTTAAGGACATAAGAAAGGGAATGTGTAAGACAGACAGAAGTGTATGTGATATAACCCAACACTTGACTGTGCCAAATATTGTGATACATAATGAACCAAATAAAAAGTCAACTTGATACATGATAATTCTGGTTTTACTCAGAGTTGGTGAACTGGTGGACGGTCTTGACCCTATCAGAGACGAGAGAGATGACAGACGTGGCTCTCTGAATGTCATCCTGAATGGCAACTTAAGTGACAGTCTGAGTGGCAACGAGAACATCAACACGAACGGACACTTGGAGAACGCGGATGCATATAGCAGTCAGCGTTTCTTGTTCAGCAGTCAGACCAGTGAGTGACCTTACTGAGTGAGTGTATTCAGATAAGAGAGAGAGAGAGAGAGAGAGAGAGAGAGAGAGAGAGAGAGAGAGAGAGAGAGGCAACAACAAATATACCTTATCAAGATGTGTTTCCCATTATGACAGACGTCGACGGACTGCTGTGGGGAAGTAAGCTCCTGATGCAGAGGATCAAGGCGTTCTTCGTAAAGCGCGCCATCTATTTCAAGAGGAAGTGGGTGCTGTTCCTCACGCAGGTAATACATTGTTTCTTTCTGGGTACAGGTATGACTTACTTGTATTACTCTCTTGTGCTGTTATCACCTCCCCACCTGAGGATATTAGGGTATATATTAGTGATGCTGTCTATCCTTTTGGCTGTGTAGTGTAATGTAGATCTAAAGAAATGTCCAATAGACAATCAAGAATTTTCTTTTTGTCTTAACAACAGAATAATCCTAATAAAATCATTACCGAACAAAAGTAACAATAGTTTTGACTTGCTGCTTCACTCAGGGCCTCCTGCCGGTACTGGTGACACTCATGTGCCTGTGGATTGACGCCTCCTTCAACGACGACAAGTTTCTAGAGCCTCCACTCCTCCTCAACATCTCTATGTTTCCTTATTCCTCCTCCTTTGTCCTCGCCGACCCCGGGAAAGAGGACCTCGCCGCTGCCTACAAGTCTCTCTTCTGGGGTCCTCACGAGGTGGGTTCTGGACCACGCTGTTATACTTAAGACCTTCTTGAGTTGTATATAGGCAGGATGACTTCTGGTGATACTGTTGAGAGCTTTGTGAATTAGAACTAAAGCTGAAGGAACATTGGTGTTGTTTTGTTCTGGTAGATCTTTGTATAGGAAGTTCTCTTAAGGTTTCAGTTGTTGAACGTGTCTTAGAGTTGCAGCTTCTGTTACAAAACTGATACTTATACTTCCTGTAGAACAAAGGTTTAACCAAACATGTAATGATTCAAAAAGTATTGTGACATGTTTATATTCATATTGTTTCTTCTTTTTTTATGCTTGAATTTATTGATCATAATTATTTGCTTACAGGTGACCAGCACAGAAAACATGGAGGAAAGTCTTCTAAGTGATGCTAAAGAACATTTAAACAAGTATAGAGAAAACAGCGTTTGTTCGGTGAGATTTTATAAGTGTATGTTCATGTACAGTAGCTAAACCAACTATCTGTGCAGGTGGGGGTCGATATGCTCCCAAATTTTACACGTGACTAGTGATAGCCCTCATATACCAAAATTTATTATCCATGGTGTCATACTGTTTCCCACAAAGTATGCACAGATAGTTGTTTTAGCCACTGTACACTAGATAATAATAACAGACCGCAGTACATCATATACCTTATCCTCAAGATCAATAAGTAAAAGTCTTTACTCCTTCACCAGGCAGAGTTCCTCAAAGTGTTTGGTCACACAGACATGAGGATGCTGTATCAGTCCGTCCCCCTACACACCCCGGGGGTCTGCACCTCCCTCATCACCAACGCGCTCCTCACTCTGGCTACAAACTCAAGCGACCGCTCAATAATAACCACCAATAGGCCTTTACCTCCAAACAAAACAGTAAGTATATCTAAGTATATCCCCAAAACCTTTACACTATCAGCCACACACATCTAACATTCCTACCGGTAACATACTACACATCCAACATTCTTGAGATTTTTTTGACAAATAACAACATTCTCTTCCACATCATAAACAGGGAGGAAGTGATATGGTGATCGTTGACATTAATATTACAGCAACAAAAACCTTCGTCCATTCCTTTTAGAATTCTTGAACCCAACATACTGTACAGGAGCACATGATGAATACCTTGGCAACATACAACATATTTGTAGACGCGACTCACGTTGGCCACAGCCATTGAGATAGTGTTCCCTAATTCTTGTTGTGGCAATATATTATTAATTATTTATTCATTATAATTCATATTACTATCATTATCCTCACAGTGGAAGATCGGAAATACTCGTTCGTCCACCAGTGCCATGGTCTACTCTATGGTGATGCCCCTCGCCCTGGCCTTCCTCTCAGCCTCCTTCCTGGTCTTCCCCCTGCAGGAGAGAGTAACCAAGGCCAAGCAGGTACGAGATGGCCAGAATCTTTCTGTCAACCTAACTGTTTATTTTTCTTGGGTTGCAGTACCTCCGTGTGCAGTGATTTTCAGTTGTCGTAGCATTTTAGCATGGTAAATGATAATGAACTGTCATCTTTCCACTTGTTTTATACATGTCTTTTTTTAATTCCTTCCTTCCTTCACGATCACAGGTACAGGTGATGACTGGAGCACCTGTATGGGCTCTCTGGGTCACCACCTTCCTCTGGGACTTCTTCACCTACCTGGCATCTGCTTTCATCGTCTTCGCCTTCATTATGATCTTCGACTCTAAGGGTTACTTCACTGTCAATGAGGCACCAGGTAGTACTCTCTCTCTCTCTCTCTTGTCAACACCACCACCAAATCTTCTCTAGGTATATTTTCTTTGATCCCTTTGGAAATTATACATATGATTTGTTTATCTTTTGGAGGGGATAGAAACCTCTTTCATCCCGAATGTTATTAAAAAAGTGACTGGCCAAATGGGTTCCAATTCTGATTAGTGCATTACGTTAGGATAGCTTGGGACTTAATAGAACGAGAGTCTATTACAGTTGGGGGTCTATTTGGAATAGGGTCTTTTAGGGGTAGGATTATTAGAACCGGAACTTATTATGACTGGGGCTTATTAACATTGGGTCCTATTAGGTCTGGGCCTATTAGAGTTGGGGCCTATTAGAACAGTGTCTATTATAATTGAGGCCTTAAAAGACTCTTATTCAAGTTTCTAATCTGACACAACAATCAATAGACCACAGATGACATATAACCAAACCATCTATCATAATCTTGTCTTAAGTTTTCATCAAGGTTTTATGTGGTAGTATAATTAGTTTTTTTGTGGTAGTATAATTAGTTTTTTGTGGTAGTATAATTATTATTATTTGTATGTTTTAGCTGTGCTGTTCCTCCTCTTACTGCTGTACGGGTGGGGCAGCATCCCTATGGCCTACGTCTTCAGTTTCCCCTTCCAAACTGCTGCCTCGGGCTTCGCTGTTCTAACCCTCGTAAACATATTTGCTGGTTAGTGAAGGAATTACATTATTAATTAATTTTTTTGCGTTTCTTAATTTTACATCAAATTTTAGATGAATAACGAAAAAAAATAAAGCATGTTTATTCGGATTTAATTTATATATTTACTGAACTATTAGTCTGATTTAGGTATCTGGATTTTACTTTAGATATCAGGCATCTCCCTTTGTAAGAATACAGTTTTCAAAAAATACTCTGGTTAACATATAAGTCGTGTTTAGTTTCAGGTATTTAACACTTACTCCTTTACCTCCCTGTCACACTCCTCTGTAGTAACTCCCCTTCTCCTCCTTCTAGGTATAGTACTCCCCCCCCCCCTCCATCTAGGTACTCCCTCACACTCCCTCATGTTAACACGCCCTCCCCTCCTCCTAGGTACAGTTGCGAAAATGTATTCCTACTCCCCCTGTGGTAAACCGTGTCTCCAAACGGCATCGTCGCAGCAGTAGTAGTATCACTTTATGAATGAATGGGACGTGATTGGTGCATAGGTTTGCTATTGGTCATATAGGTTGGCCGTTTGGAGACACGGGTGAGGTTAGGTTAGGTTAGGTTAGGTTAGGTTAGGTTAGGTTAGGTTAGGTAAACACAGGGGAATCAATCATGAACAATAATGACTCTCTTGTGTATACCTAAACAAGTCATTGGTTCGCTCGGGCAGGTCAGATCATCACGACGGCAATATGGGCGCTCAACCTCTCCCAGCAACCGAGCCTCATCACCTTGAGTAACACCCTCAACTGGGCCACCTCCTTCATCCCGACCTACCCGGCCTCCATGGTGGGTGATGCCTTCTGTCTCTAGTATTTGGTTGCTGTTGTCATTTTCTTCCCACTGTCACCATCGTTGTAGCTGTTGTCACTTTCTTCCCACTGTCACCATCGTTGTAGCTGTTGTCACTTTCTTCCCACTGTCACCATCGTTGTAGTTATAGTCACTTTCTTCCCACTGTCACCATCGTTGTAGCTGTTGTCACTTTCTTCCCACTGTCACCATCGTTGTCACTTTCTTCCCACTGTCACCATCGTTGTAGCTGTTGTCACTTTCTTCCCACTGTCACCATCGTTGTAGCTGTTGTCACTTTCTTCCCACTGTCACCATCGTTGTAGCTGTAGTCACTTTCTTCCTACTGTCACTGTCTTCATAGCCGTGGTCAGTTTCTTCTTGCTGTCACTATCGCTTGTTACTGTCGCTGTGTTCATAATAATTATTTATAAAAAAAGGCATGAGGTAATTGATCATATCTCATAGTCGACTGTAAACAGGTAATGTGTTTGTTTGCGGTCGATCGTTGAAGGTAGACAGTTTGGGGGGTGTTTGTTTACTTTCCTTTATTTTCAAGCACAAAATTACATCAATTTATGATTTATATAATGTATAATTTTCAGGTCAGAGCTTATGTTTATATACATACTGTACACCAGTGATAGTTGAGGGGTAATGTTTATACAATATATACTGTACACCTACAGGGGTTCTACCACCTGGTGAACACGAGTGTACACAATGCCCAGTGTGACGTGTTCAACATGACTGTAAAGAGCCAACTGTGTTCAAGTCTTGCTGAGTTCCTGCCCTACAGCCCCTTCGTGATGTGTTGTCGTAAGTACTGACGAGAACTGCTTATACTAACTCAGCTGTCTGTTGGTGGGTTAGTTTATATTAGGTTTGGTTAGCTTAGGGAAAGGTCTGGTCAAGTGAGGTTAAATTAGTCTACTTAAGGTTAGGCTAGGTTAGGCTAGCTTAGGTCAGGTTAGGCCAAGTTGGCTTAAGAAAGGCTTGGTTAAGTTAGGCTATATATGTGCTCGAGGGATTGTCCATATCCACTAAGACTCAAAGCTTCACTCAGGTTGGAACTCATTGTATAGATACAAGTTAATATGTGTCTCAACAGCTGAGTGTAATGAGGTGGGAGACAAAACTTGCTTCGACAAGAGGTCGTACTTTCTCTTCGACGACTATGGGATGGCAGCTGACTTGCTCACTCTCTTGGGCAACGGGATCATCTTCCTACTCCTGCTGGTGGTGATCGAGGCGGACATCGGCAGGCAGTTATCGTGAGTCTCCTGCCTTCAAAGTCTTCCACGAGAATTTGGTTTGGTTAGAATTGTTACTGCGAGGCTTCAACATATGCATAGAGTCTTTTATACATATATAGGGGCTTCAAAACATACATAAAGGCTTCAACACACATCCTCGTGGCTTTAACATTGCTATGATTATCATAGGATAATTATATAATTTATACATTAATTTAAAGCTTTAGTTTGATAATTTGTTAATTACAGCAACAATTAAATAACTTCCATAGCAACACTAACTTTGAGTACAAGCTAAAAGAATTCTTTCTATACTTACAACAATTCAAAAACATAACAAAGACAATTCATTACGACAATTAGCTATTTAACTATAATAATTCTGTGCATAACTACGACAAGTACAAGTGCTCGTCACTGTGATAATAATTCTCTCACTAACCACAACGACGTGTTGACTCAGGAGGTCGTGGTGGCGGCTGAGGGCAGGTCTCAGCCTCATATGTTGCGGCAGTAAGACTCAGGTCGTTGTGAACGAGAACTTTCCACAAGACGACGATGTGGCCACCGAAGCCGCCCTGGTGGACACCCTGATGCTGAATAGAAAGACGGCGAACGGGGGTATTTACGGCTCTGTGATTATTAGTACCCCTGTGTGGTAGTTGGTACTCCTGTGTAGTAGTTGGTACTCCTGTGTGGTAGTTGGTACTCTTGTGTGGTAGTTGGTACCCCTGTGTGGTAGATGGTACTCCTGTGTGGTAGTTGGTACCTCTGTGTGGTAATTGGTACTTCTGTGTGGTAGTATATTGTTTGTGTACTAAATTCCAGTTATCTTTTGTCAAACGAAATCAGAAGACTAAAAATTTTAAATAAATGTCACTGGGGTGAAAACTTGAACCTATTGTGAGCTGTAGCTTGTGCCCTATTGTGAGCTACTGCTCACAATAGGTTCAAGTTTTCACCCCAGTCACGTTTATTTTACATTTTTAGTCTTCTGATTTCGTGTGACAAAAGATGATAACTGGAATTTAGGCTTAACATCAAATCACATCAAAAGTAAATAAATAAATCGACTTACAATTTATATTGATTCAGCATGTTTATAGACAATGCAGGTAAACAAGCACTGGGCGTTGTCTTTCAGATTCACAAGTCGAGGCCACGCTGCTGGTATCTGGCCTGTACAAGCAGTTCTACAGCTCCTCGACTCCTGCTGTCAATAAGGTCAGCTTTAGAGTGGGCCGAGGCGAGTGTCTGGGCCTGCTGGGGGTGAACGGTGCCGGCAAGACTACCACCTTCAGGATGTTGACGGGAGACGAGGAACTTTCCGGAGGTGATGCCATGATTGGCACGATCTCACTCCAGAGTAACGTGGGCAAGGTGGGTGACGCACTGTAAGAGTTGTGTTACTTTCTGATGTTTATGAAAAGGTTGGAGGGTGATATTTTCTTGTCTATAGGCTTTCTTCTCTGCAGGCACAGTTCGTTAATATTATCCAAGATGTATAGCAATGTCGCCTCTCCCTGGATCTGAACGTTTATCTTCCTCTGTGTAAGTTGATGTTTTCGGTAATTACTTTGTATGTTTTCTTTGCAGTTTGTACAGCAGATAGGTTACTGCCCCCAGTTTGATGCGGTTTTAGGTGAACTTACTGGGGTGGAGATGCTCACTTTGGTTGGCAGACTTCGGGGAGTCAGCGATGGTCGCATGAAACATACTGTCAACTCCCTGGTGTCTCTTGTGGGACTGACGGAGTGCGCTAAGCGGCCCTCCTCCACTTACTCAGGAGGTAACCGCAGGAAGCTGTCCACAGCCATGGCCTTGGTCGGAAACCCGCCCCTGGTGTTCCTGGACGAGCCCACCTCAGGAGTAGATCCAGCATCTCGTCGTAGGGTGTGGACAGCCATCAGACAAGCCATAAACAACGGGCAGAGTGTAGTGCTTACTAGCCACTCTATGGAGGAGTGTGAGGCGCTCTGCTCCCGTATCATCATCATGTCTCGTGGCAGTCTTCGCTGTGTGGGCACCACCGGCCATCTTAAAGCAAAGTTCGGGCAGGGCTACAGCCTCCAGGTGAAGCTCAGGACGTATTCCGTGAACGAACAGTGCCACTTGGAGAACGAGGAAGCGTATAATGCTAAAGTATCAGAGCTGAAGACGACCATCATATACCACCTGCGTGGCTCAACCCTCACTGACCAACATAAGGCAAGTATCTGTGACCGCCACTCCGGCAACTCATCTTAGTACTTGCTATTCTATTATAAATGTCAATTTTACTTCTTTTCTCAACTTAGTGGCGAAGACCCGCTACTAAGAGCGTGTGGGTGATGCGTTATCCTCTAAGTGTTATACAAAGATACCCTCGAGGGAGTACCTCTACCCTTGTCGTGTGTAACATTCTGAAACATCGGGCGAAGACTTAGAACATAATGTGTGATTATCGTCGTGTACTGGCAGGTCTGCTGCTCTTCTTGTGTTATTATAATAATTGCACTTCACGATAATTCCATAACTATACTTCTTCTTATGTATTATGTTTGTAACGGCATCTTGCTTGTGTTTAGATGATAAATGGTCCCTTAATACGCGTAAATACAAAATGGAATACAGTATTTCACTAAATTAATTATATTCTACTTGCCGCTTATGGTAAAGTTTACACGCTCGTCTCCCAGCACAAACCTGTGAGTTATATGTCAGCATAATCATGATATTTTGTTGATACCGATATTATTGGTAAATAGAGTAGCTACACAGCGTTACTCAGACCCTTGTAGTGATGAGTAATAATCACTACTTGCATTTTCTTTGAGGTTGGGGAGTTAATGTTCCTGTCACATGGCCGCGAGTACCAATACAAGTTCGATTAAAGGAATAAAACCAGCAATACTTCGTCACAGTCGTCCTCCTATTAACGGAGAATACGAATAAATTTTTTCCCGACTGTACTGTACACATACACTGTCTATGCACAGTGTAAGGGACGGGATACTGTCGCCAGCTATAGAAACAGAACCAGTACAGTTTCTGATCCCATAACGTCTTTAACTAACACAACATGAAACATTTTATTGTTTACATATCTTACGTCAGCAAATAGGGTCACTTTGGATATTTACTGTCACTGTTTATATTAACATTAACTTACACATAAACCCATCACCTTTTCCAGGGCATGTTGGCCTTCAGAGTGTCCAACAGGAACTCCTGGGGCCACCTATTTTCTGTGATGGAGGCGCTGAAGGCTGGCCGTAAACCAGGCGCCGCGGGAAGCTGGACTGAGGCTGCCGTGACGACCTCCTCGCCCCTGGTGGAGGACTACGCCGCGTCCGACACCTCCCTCGAGCAGGTGTTTCTCTCCTTCGCCAGGGAGGCCGCGGCGGCGCAAGAACTTCGAGATTTTCAAATTCCCTGCGAATTTATAACTAAATTATGAGGAATAGTTTTTGTAGTGAATGTCGCTATTTTGTTATGATCTTTAAGTAATGTAATACTTAGTAGTGGTGGTGGTAGTATAAGTAGTAGTAGTACCAAATGTGTTATATTTATATCAATAGTATTGTCATTATAATCATTTATACTTGTCGTCGTCATTACAGTCATTATATCTATCACTGAAGCACTTTTTGACCTCAAAATATAATATGTTGATAATTGTGTACACTTATCGTCTCTCCTGTGCACTGATGTGAGTCTTACTGCACAGCACACAGAGTTATGTGTATATTTCTAAGAGTATTTGAGACCTGACATTGACCTTATAGGTAGAGTGTCAACCTCTCTTTCTTGTATGTTTTTTTTTATTGGAGCACCACACACACACACGCACACACACACACACACACACACAAATGCACTTAACATGGATAACTGTAAACAAACTTAACAAACACCATTATAAATATACTTACAGGCATTTAACAAACATCCTGTAAACATTCCTCAGTTTAATAAACAATTAACACAATGACAAACATATTTCTCTCAAACATTTTTACATACCACCTATACAACACATTTCTCTGAACGTGTTCGAGGTACTACTATAAACATGGAACACAGCTACGCAAAAATAAGTACCACGTCAACCAATATAAATAAACACTTCATTCAGGTTCACGTACAGTAAGAAATATAGACATTTATTTATTTTTTCTCTAGCTAAAGGCAGGAACATGATATATTAAGTGTTGTAATTCATAAACTATGTAAATAAAATGGACTGAAGAAACTATGACACGGGTGACAGAAGAAGACAGACAGTAGGAAGATCAAGGAAGGCAGACAGACCAGGTAGTGGTTATAGATAGTAGGCAGCTGTCAAACAGGGAGGTACTACCGCCTGGGAAGATATTGGAAGCATAATGTGTTGTCTAATGGTAGACCCTGCTGCCATATGGCATCACGAAAATTGTGACCAAGTACCAGGTTGCTGATCTGACTTTCTGCCTCATTTACACACAATTGCTGGGTTTCAATTGTTTCTCCAACTTTGACAACACAACATACATATAATGTTTCAACCTATTGATTGATTTATTTATTTATTTATTTATTTATTTATTTATGGTCCTTTATTATATTACAATATATTTTTATTTAATATTTTTATATTTTTTATTAATTTTTATTTATTGTTATTAATTATTTATTATTATTATTATTATTATTATTATTATTATTATTATTATTATTATTATTATTATTATTATTATTATTATTATTATTATTATTGTTATTATTATTATTATTATTATTATTATTATTATTATTATTATTATTTTTATTATTATTATTATTATTATTATTATTATTATTATTATTATTATTATTATTATTATTATCATCGTCATATTTTCTCCCCCAGGCCCTGATGTGCTCTGGTGGGCTAATCCCGTAAAAAGGGAAGATTACGAAAGACAGACAGACAGACAGACAGTAGTATGATCACGAAAGAAGCGTTATATTTATTTCACTTTATTAATCTTAATTCTCATGATATTTATATAAATTTTTGTTAAAAGTAAAAGTAAAAAGAAAAGTTAAATTTCCTCAGGCAGAAAAAATAATCTATAATCTCCTTAAAGAGTGATTCTCACTTTCCCTCACTAGTTAGTTATTGATTCTCAGGTAATGGATTGCAATGTTAACTACAGGTAAGAATTCGGCTGAGAGAAGGTTGTATAACAGATAATTAACTTAATTCTATTTTTATTATTTTATTGTTAAATGGAGTCACGGGACCGATTTCTTCCATGGTTGTGATTATTATTATTATTTAAATCAATGTTTATTTTGTTTTATAATAAAGTTGTGATATAATGAATGGTTTAATTTACATCCTTATCACCGACCAGCACTACAAGAAGGGATCGAAGCTTGTCGTGACGCTCTTGTGGCCTTACAAGACTGAAAAGTGTAGATAGAGACTTTCCTCCTATCTTGTATATTATTTATGTAAACTAATTAATAAATGTTTTGAATCTTATGTAGTCTTTAGAAATTACCTTAAGAATAGACACACTGTTAACGTCTTCTGTACACACACACACACGCATAGAGGTATTGTAGATGATAGGCTGTGTGCTGTAAGGTAGTTCATATACCTGGATTACTGAACACTAACCTTAGGTAGACAACTTGAAGACTCCACTGCTGCCTTCATCAATCGACAGGAGAGAGTGAGGTTAGCTATCATAACTGCTAATCTATTATGTTGAATAGCAGAACAATAGAGATAATGTAAGAAATTTAGTTAGGGAGTTATATATATGTTGCATTTAATTTAGGTTGTATTTAGTTAAAGTGATATTTAATAGTTACCTGAATTGCAAGTAATTACTCCTGATTTAAACAATAGACTTGCGCGAGTCTATATTCTTTTGTCTGCGCGTGCATCATGCCAGCTACCGTTGAATGCCAAATTATACCTGCCACTGCCATGATGCTATAGTCAGTTCCTTGACAATTGTGACCAGAGAAACACAATACTCACCACCTTCAGTGAAAACCAGCGATCAGGGAGGGGCTCACCAACTAAGCTTCACCATTAATTCCTGACCTCAATTCACATCAGCAAACCTTGAGTCGCAATTTATATTGTAAGATATCCTAACTTTATACTTTGTACATAGCTTGATGTAATGATGGAATATAAATTCTTGTCTGGTATCAACCAATTCAGGACATTAGTTAACTTACGTTAGTAATAACTATATTTATTTATAATGTGCATTGTCATCCAGCATGAGTTTTCGACTAAATAAGAAATATTATAAAATCATTGTATTTTGGCACCCCTGCGCACACACATACAGACCGATCTGGACGGAAGCAAATTATACCTCAAGTAAGTCACCCAAAAGCTTGCTGCTGTAGGGAAAGTAGTTGTTAAAGTCTAAAGTTTTGTTGGCCTACTGATAAAAAAAATAAATCATAAATTCATAAAACAACGATGTTAATAGATCCCGGATGACATCTTTAATCTGGTCACCAAAGGGGAGATTCAGTTATAGTTTTACCTTCGAAGTTTCAACAAGGGCTCTTATACTACTGAAACAGAGAAGCAACAAGTGAAAAATGCAATATAAAAATTTCTTTAGTCTATCCTCATATTTGAAGAGTGTTCACGAGTAATCAAAGAAAACGGTTTTGTCGAATAACGGAAACCCTTGTAAAATTTAAAATTATATATCAGTAGAAAGTATTAGATTTGTTCATTCATATATCTTTCTTATCTGTACATTTATCTATTTATCTCTCATCATTCACATCTTTTCTCTTATTTAACGCTATCACAGTTCATCACTCCCTTACTTTATAACTGCTAACTACACCATTAGGCAGTTACACTATTATTAACAATTAAAGATAATCCGTAACGTAGACCAATAAGAAAACGCGATGGGCTCTGGAAACTGTAGACTGCTGGCGTCAGGACTGAGTGAGATCTGTGTTGTTAGTTAAGTGGGGCGACAAGGTGTGGAGCGGTCTCAACTCACTTCACCTATGATTTCGCTCGGATTCTAGGAACTTTGATTCACTAGGATTATTTTTTCCGTTTCATTCTAGTGATGAAATTTTATCAAGAGGAAAATTATCTAATGATATAGTGTGATTTTGTCCGTGTCGTCAACACCGTGTTCCCGGGAAGTTTACTTTGCATGACGAGAGGAACTTCATGAACGAGGCTGTATGTAAGGTAAGTTAAACGTATCGTCTTATTTGACTGTTTAAAAAAGCTGTAATCGGTTGTTGTTGTTGTTTATATCAAATGGCGCGTTTTGGTTTTCGTTTTCTTCCGGGGAGTTACTGTTGCAAGTATTTCACAAACCTCAGATATACATTGTGATAAGAAGACTTTTTCATGGTATAATAATATCAGTGTGCGGTCATCCGGCACATACTGGTATTATTAGGATTACTAAAATGGTCAGTGTACTTGATTTTCCTTGTGTGTGTGATTATATATATATATATATATATATATATATATATATATATATATATATATATATATATATATATATATATATATATATATATATATATATATGTGTGTGTGTGTGTTCAAGCACTTTTACATATACAGTATGTTCAAATGTGTGGCTGTACAGTACACTCTCCTCAAAAGGATCGGCCCCCCCTGGGCCTGATGTATTTGGAAATGAACACAGTAACAAGTGCACAACAGTTTCGGTTCGGTTGGTATTTTTGATTGTGAGTTGCATCTTTCGTTCTTTCTTCTTTCACCTGATAATCACCATGATACCTGCAGAATACCATTTATTCTCTACATAATGTAATGAAATAGGATGAATTGTGATACCACATGCAAAGCCAATAACGTCATGAGTAACCTCGCTGATTTGTGGACCTTAGATACTATTTCAGCCCCAGAGGATGAGTTGCCAAATAGGAATATAACGTTACTATGTTTTCATGAACCGAGGTTATAATGGAATCACTTCGAATGAAATATGAAACACTATGATCCGATATTACATTCATTTGCAAATATAGTAATTACAAGTATATTATGATGTCATATCCAATTACAGTGTGACATTATGATTTACTGCATTTCGTTATTATTTCTACCTCAATTGATGAAGTAACAATTATGAATATAACGTATCATCTCATGATCCGTGCTGGCAACGGAACATTATCTGATACACACTACGAGACGTGTGTGTCGGTAGAAGCTGTGTTTTCCAGTGAGTCTCGGGTTGTTGGTCATGGATTTCCAGCAGAAAACATCCACTATTTGACTGCCGTTGAAATATTTTCACTACATTAGTATAATTATATTATTCTACTAAAGATGGAGCACAGTGATTCACCATTATTACAGCAAATGCCAGAAATATTAACTGGCATCCTCTCAGATGCTAGGAAGACAAGCCTACAATTAGTGATCGGAAATATTCGTCCATTGTGACACATTGTATCGGGGAGAAAAGGGGCCGATAATTTTTGGGGAGAGTGAACACACCTACTCTCACATGAGGCTTATCCATCCCTGCCGCTGCTACCCTCCACCCTACCGTGGTTACCTTCCACCCTGCCGTGATAACCGTTCTCCTTGCCGTGATTACCCTCCACTCTGCCGTGGTTATTTCTCTCCCTGTCGTGAAACTGATCACCAACACGTTCTCTTGTGGCAACGAGTGAATTGTCACTAGAAAACGATGCCACTCGTTGCCTCTCAGAAATTCATCCTTAGAAAACAGTTTTCCTTCTTCCGACATGAGCAAGTGGAGGGCGAGGGCTGTCTTATGTAAGGCGGGTCATGTCTACATATAGCGTGTGTGTGT